CACCCATGGCTCGGAAACTCCAGTGCAGCTCTCGATGATATGTGGTGGATACCCAAGAGTAGCCATTCGAACAACAACCCAGCATAGGTCCTCGCAGAGAAAACGTTGTTGGCCGTTCATAATCGTCGAGGGCGTTGAGAGGATGGTCGTCGTTGACGTTGGGAAGGCGTCGTTGGGGACAGAGGTCGCGAAAGGAGCTGTCAAAGGTGAAACATCAATCACCACCAAACAACCAAATAAAGCGCGCCATTCCCCTAATTTGGTTTCAAATTTGCCATTCCTATACATTACTCATCAAAAGATATACTAATATCGGGGAATAAAATTATAAAATTATAGCGGACGGGGCGCAAATCGAGACTAATCTCCGGTGTGCCCTTATAGCTCAGTGGTAGAGCGTTGCACTTGTAAGCCACACCTCTCGTAACGCAATCGACATGCAAAGGTCCGTTGTTCAATCCAGCGTGGGGGCAAATCCTTTTTCACCCCACATACTCTATTCTAGTATTCAAGCGACCAATCAGCGCACATATGTTTGTGAGGTCTACACGTTTTCGATGCATACATTTGAGGACAGATGATTTAAACTTTTAAGCTCAAACACGTGATTTGATATGATGGAGCCAGAAACGCGATCCATCGGCTTCGATCCTCTCGCAATTCCCACCATCACCCACCACAGCCGCAGCCCTCTGAGATGCAAGGCATCAAGTTTGCGCAGCCCGAGTTCGCGCATCTCCTCCCTCCGTCGTGGAAATCGGTCATCCAAACATGGCTAGCTGAGGATACACCGTCATTTGATTGGGGTGGATATGTCGTGGGCGAAGTAGAGAGGGAGGCGTTTTTGTTGGGGAAGGGAAAGGAGCCCGGTAAGCGTCCTAAAATATGCTTCCATCCGAGATTTAACTCAAGTGTATGCTTGTTCAACTCTATTTGTTTCATCATTGCAAAATGACTCGTAGCGATTCTGGCCGGTGTGCCCTTTGTCAACGAGGTATTTCACGTACTTGGCTGTACAGTGCAATGGCATATGCGTGAGGGAGATGCTTTCGAGCCCGTAGCGCGCGTCGCGACTGTCCGAGGTCCGGCCAGACATCTCTTACTGGGCGAACGAGTGGCACTAAACGTGCTCGCACGTTGCAGCGGTATAGCAACCAAGTACGCTCCATTCCGTATCACTTCGACAGATTTCCTATAAAAAATATAATCGTATTATAGGAGCCGACGCTTCCATGATACCGCTCGTGCCGCCGGGTTCACAGGCACCCTTGCTGGCACACGCAAAACAACCCCCGGATTCCGACTCGTCGAAAAATACGGAATGCTAGTCGGCGGGATCGACCCACACAGATTCGACCTTTCCAGCATGGTCATGCTCAAAGACAACCACGTCTGGTCTACAGGGTCGATTGCCACGGCTGTGATGGCTGCGCGTCGAGTCGCTGGATTTAGTTTGATGATTGATGTGGAGGTGAGAAATGAGAGGGAGGCAGATGAGGCGATCGAGGCAGGGGCGGATGTGGTTATGCTAGATAATATTGAGGGGGAGGCCTTAGGGGTTGTTGCGAGACGCTTGAAGGAACGGTGGAGAGGCGTGAGGGTATTTAGGCTGGAGACGAGTGGGGGAATCGAGGAGGGGAACTTGATCGAGCGAGCGATCAACGGTAAGTCCAACTGCTTTCTTGATTGGGTGGGATACTGATATGGGTTAGATATCGATATTTTGAGCACGAGCGCGGTTCACCAAGGCGTCCCCCATATTGACTTTAGTCTGAAGCTCCAGATCCCGAACGTAAACGTATCTGGACCTTCGAGTGCTCCGCAGTCTATGCGCCTGGCGCCCCCAACGACAAACCTTGGAAGGAGTAAAACGAGCAGTCGTGCTGCTTCGGCATCAGCCGAGTCGATTGATCTGGCCGCGGAAGCGGCGGCAGAATTAGAGGCGGAGCTAATTTAGTTTTGTAATAGAGAGCATTTAATGATCACGTGAAAACAGCGCCTGCCTAAACTTCCACCTTGCTTCTAGTCCGACCCTCGTCAACTAGGCTGGCGAAAAAACTAAAGACTCTTGCGAGATTGCATTTTAATTAATAAATCTTTGAAGCTCTACCTCCTTTTCGTAACTCACCTATTTGTCACCTCACTGGATCATTGTAAACGTGCACTACCCGGCGTCTGATATCTAGCGTCTAGTACGGCATCTGGTGTTTTGACCGTTGAGCACGGTTTTTCGGCTGAAAGCTTGTAGTATTCTTGAGAGTGAGGGTATGGGCGTTTGATTCAAACTTACCCTCGAACTGTGCTTCTGAATGGGAGCGGACAAGTCGAAAGGCGCTTGCTCTGGTTGTTACTTGTTCCCTCCGGGTTCGTTCCCGCAGCCTTGGATTCTGCCCAACTTCAACCGGTGTAGCAATGTGCCCTGCTGATGCCAAAAATCCCAAAATCAACATCTAGGCTCCGCTAGCTTGCTCCGAAACAAAAAGAATGCACGGGTTTAGATCTACAAGCAGGAAGCGTTCCATGTTATTCGGATGAAAAACGCGAGCGTGAAGTTTTCTTTTATATTACTCGATGAGCGCGTTCAAGACAATACTGATGGTTAGAGTAGCGACAGTGCGCTGTCGCTAATTGAGGCTATTATGCCCAACACAACTAATGGTTTGAAGTACGTAGATGAGCGTGACGAGGCGCTAGCTAAACTTGTAAGAGTCAGACGTTTGTCGACACAATTATGTTTGGGCTCTCTGCGCCTTTCATTCAGGAATAGGTGTTAGTTCTACTCCCAATCTCATCCAATGCATCATATACTTACTTGCACACGCATGTTAAAACTCAACCATGGGAGCCTGCCGATTCGGGGTTCCTCTTTTCACAGTCCATTTCGGTGCTAGTATCGAGTGTAAGCATGTTTGAACTTGAGGTCCGACGTGTCTAACAAATCCTACCCTACAGCTTTCCTTGCATCTTGAGCTAAATAACCTTGAATTTAGAATCTACCATCTGGCTTTTCATGAATCCATGTCCACGATGTGAGTATTTCTAGCCCTACAACAACGATCCGCAAACGCGCTTTGCTGAATTATCTTGGTTTACTGCATGACTGAAGGTGGTCGTTGCAGCGATCTCGATGGCTATTGGGTGGTGTAAGACGGAATGTTGTGATCTACTGGTTTCGCGAGTAAAACATATTGCAGTAAGCCTTCGAACACAACTACGTGGAATCAACTCCACCTGCGGGTTCTCCTGTCGGTTTTGGGAAGGTGAGCATGTTTCGATTCTGCGCGAATATGTTTTACTGTACTGAATTGGGTTCATCAATCTGCTAGAAGACATTGATCGAGGGGATTTGGTCGTTTACCCTAATGTGTGAATGGCGAGCACATCCTTTGCTATTGTTCGACCCTAGCATTGCGGCTGAATGCGTCGGTAGTACCACGTCTCGGGGGCAGAGAACACGCATAACAACCTTTTTGCAGATACTGGTACATCGTTTATTCCTTGACAGTTCAACTACTTTGACGGTATGGGTTCTAGTCTAGACTAACTAGCGTTCTGACGTGTTTTGCGTAGGACCCCGCCTGCCCCTAAAGACATCCGCAATACGGTTCCACTTCGAACATATGAGAACCGGGACTATACTATTGAAGAGGCGGAAGGCGAGGCTGCGACATGTGCTCTTCATGCATTGCAAGGTGCAGGGGTGCAGTACACGGGGCAGGTGCTCTAGGGATAAGACCTACCATCTTGGGCGTCGCCCACGTCGAAGTCCGAGCTGTCTAATCCGGACTAGCGGTATTGTTTCGTGCTTGCTGACACAAATTCCAAATTCCATTTTCGTCTGTTAACCTAGATTAGCCTGCGCACCAGATAAACGACGCGCAGGATTCCCAGCTGGTGCACCGCATATGACTGGCCTAATTGTAACGGCAAGTGTCTCAGTTGTTTTGCAGCACAAAATATTATTATCCAACCCTTTCACCTGGATAGGGCATTTTGGCGTTCTCAGTGAAGCAGGTAGTCTATATAGAGTACTATGACTTGAGGGAGAGCTCAGTTCAAGAATGGTGTCTAGTTCGGGTGGGTCACGTGACGGCGATCTTGAGCGTTTAGCCTTGTTCCCCATTTCTGCTCGGTTCTTGCCGCACGACCGACTCCTTTTACTTCTTTTTCTGGGTCCTTTGGTTGTACTGCCCACGCAACACGTTTTCATCTAACACAACTTGTCAGATTGAGTATTGTTGACTGTATCTACAACACGCCGATGGGTCAAATATCCTTATTCCGGTATCTAGTTCGACTCCCAAATAGTGGCGAGTACCCTATACGGGTCGTATGAGAGATTTTTGCGCACATATAACTAATAGGACATGAGGTTCAACACGCAAGCTGTGCTTGTTGTAAAACCTAAATGAGTAAAAGGTGTTGATCGCCTCGTGAAGCGTACCTCATGATACTGTGTCGTCGCCCAAAATTCTCACAGCCACACATCGATTTAGGCATGTAGTTACATATTAAGAGGAAACTTTCTGAATGCAACCATATTGAAATGCAGTCGAGCGCGCACGTCAGTAAAATAAATACTCTGGTTTAATATATATAATCCATTCATATATAGGCTTTTAATCGCAGCATACAGTGGCTCAATACAACCACATCTAGACTAAACCTATAGGAACCAACAGCTCATACCACGAAAAGAGGTCTCTCAATGACCACATTGAACCTGAGACCATAAATTCAATTGTATTACTTTACCCATTAACAAGTAAAAGTGTTGCATACACCGAGCGCTATAACCATTGACCTGAGATCTCCGGCGAGTAACCGGCGCAGCTGTGGTCCAAATAGGTTCAGCAAGTACCAATCAGAAAAGCGTAACCTAAGGATGCCTAACGTCGATGAGGGTTGGCGGTTGAGCGATTTGAGTGCGGCGCTGCAAGCGTAGAGGTCTGGTACTCACAGATAATTTTAGTTACAAGCCAAACCAATCCATCGATATCCTAGTAACGCATATGAGTAAATGTAGTATCAGTTTCCGTAGAGTATATAAAACTGGCGGTGAAGGTAATAATGTAACCGATCTCACCGGGCGGAGAGAAGAGCGATAGTGGTGGAGGGCGATAAGCGAGCAGGTGTGAGGTGTTACGGTTATGTGAGCTGTAATCATACAGAAGCCAAACTTACCATACGGGGATGTACCCATTATTCAATGCCCGAGCGGTCTGATAGAGGCATGGCATTGACGCAGCCTCGACGCAGCCGTGGTTGCTGTGATGAGGGTGGAGACGAAGGCGATCGGATGATCAATGGGCTCCTTGACCAACGGGTATGTTTGGGGAAGGCCCTCCAGCCGCTACCTTGTGCTGCAGACTCACGATGTCTGGTAAGAATTTTGCTATCGTGAATAGCTCTTCACTTAAGAAATTCAGCATAATTGCCAAAATACCGATCAGACATATATTGGGAGCTGTGA